ATTTTGTTTCTTAGTTAATAATTCATCCAATCTGCTATCCGATTAGAGTGTTTAGGATTTATTTTCTTTTTATGTGTTGTCAATATCAAAGCTAAATTCCGAACCGCCTTACTCGTGAGATCGATCCGGGGAACAAATCTTTTGATTCGGTACTCGGTAAAAATAACAATTTGTACACAACAAGTACTGGAGAGTTATTTTCATAATCTGTACACAATCACTAATCCTGATACTAATGTCTGCAATCTGGATGGTATTCCCATTTCCATAACTAATGAGATGAATCAAATGTTAACTTGTCTGGTGAGTGAAAAAGAAACTAGAGATGCTCTTATGGAGATGGAACCTTCCCAAGCACCAGGGGTTGATGGTATGACCACTTTGTTTTTCGAATCTTGATGGTCCATTGTAAAAACTCGCTATATCTAACTTTTGAATGTGGTAGAATGACCGAGGCGATCAATCATATTGTATTAACCCTAATTCCTAAAAAGAACAATCGTTTGCTTGCTTATGATTTCAGACTTATTGGTCTTTGTACTTGTAACACAAAATTTTGTATTATTGGATTAACAAACACGAGAAATTCTTACAAAATGATTTTAAATGGATCATATGAAATGTAGTGGATTACAAATCTCTATTTTTCCTCTGATTAATTTCTTCAACAACAATCTTCAACTGCGTTTGAGACTTTTGGAGACATAATCTTCTGTTTGATCTCCCCGGTCTTGAGCTTGAATTTAAATAACGTTTCTACGAGAGCTTGTCAGCTTGATCTCGAATTGAACGCCGTAATTTACCAAAAAAGTGAGCCCTTGGTCTTTGCTGCAAAGTTTATCTTCGATCTTCCCTACTTCGGTCTTGACTTTAACAACATAATTCGGAAGCTTGATATTGTGTTTCCAGATTGAACGTCAGTCTTGAGCTTGAACGCACTTGGATCTTCCTTCAAATCTTCAAAAACGCTTTTGGATCTTCAAGAACACTTGAATCTTGTTGAGAGAAGTCTTTAGAACTCTTGAAATTAATTATGAGTTGTGTTTTTAACCTTAGGGAGAGCCTCTATTTTAGGTGTTAAGAGAGAGAGGGTCTTCAAAAATAAGACTTCAATTTGATTGGTCCATAATTTTTAATATTTATCTCTTAATAATTATTCAATAAAGATAAATAGGAGAGAGTCTTGGAAAGAAGATTTTAATTTGATTGGTTTATGAATTTTTAATATTCATCTCTTTAACAATTATTTATTTTACTCTCCAAGAAAATAACTTGTGACATTCTTTAATTGGCCTTCAAAATATACATGT